AGACGGAACTGCTGGGAATTTGGATGCACACGTGGAGATATCCGCGTCGAACAATTAGAGCCAAAACGTGTAGTAAGGACGGTTGGCAAGGACGCAAGACCTTTGGAGGCCGAAGTTGGGATTTTGTGGGCGGCGGGCGACCAGTGCAAACGGCAAAGGACGGGCCGCAGAGGCAAGGACACGAGGGTCCCCTTGATGAAGGCGCGCGTCTTACTAGACGCGTTGACTGTAGTAGATCTTAGTCTTATGGGGGCTTCTGCCTCCAGCGGCCTCGCAACCCTGCCCGGTCCACCCCGGGAGGTGGGGGCTCCCGGCCGCCCACTCGCGCGCGCGTCTATCCAGACCTGGGTCAGTCAGGCCCTGCAAGACGCTGCAAGATCCGGCGCTCTGACTGACCCCCGTCTGCACTGACCCCCGTCTCGAGGCTCCTGACGCATCCTGATACCAATCCTGCCCGGTCCACCCCTGGAGAAGCAGGAGAGCCCAGAATCGAATCGATGACTCGGATCGGTGATCGACATGAATCGGATCGACGGATAACAGTAGCCGAGTCGGAAGGAGTCGAGTCGGCGGAAATCGGCAGGCTAATAAGCCTCCATTGTTAAATCGGATCCCGAATCGGAATCCCAAGTCGAATCGGAATCGGGAGCCATCGAGAACGAATCGAATCGAGTCGGCAGCATCAACACGAACCCTGGAGGAGGGGGCTCCCCCGGCCGCCGCCTCCAGAGGCCTCCCAGATGGGGTCCGAGCAAGTGGGGTCGAACGATCGCGCCGCATCACCACTGCATCGCCGATGTATCGGCGATGCATCAGCGACGTCGGCGTGTGGAGACGCGGGCTCCGCATCGAGCCGCATCGGCGACGCATCGGCGATGCGGCGCGATCCTCCGACCCCCCGGCGACTCCGACCCCACCCGGGAGGCCTCGAACCTCCTCGCGCGCGAGTCGCGCGGCGAGGGAGCGGCGAGGCCGGGCGGTGCTCGGACGCTGGCTGAGGCGGCGCGCCCAGGGAGGAAGACAGAGGGCGAGAGCCTGATCTTCCCATATCTGCCATACTTTCCTGGGCACCGACGATTAAGTGTTTGTCTGTGTGTGGCTTTCCCTCCTGACGAATGGCCGCATAAAGCTCGATGCATGACATGGTCCACACACCGGCTGCCAGCAGAATCCCGATGGCGCGCAAAACTGTAGCGTCGCGGGAGATCACGAATGGAGCCCCAGACCAGATGGCCAACTCCGAAGCCCTGGACGCAAAAAGGCCGTCATCTCTCAGGGGCGCAATCTTTCCCCTCCTGGTCCTGGCCTCCTGAAAGGCTTCCTGAGCCTTCGTCGCAGAAACGGTGGAGAAGGCTTATTGGAAGGCTAGAGGGCTTCCGAGGAGCCTCGCCTTCCGAGGAAGCCTGCCCTTTCTCACTGCCCCCGTCGGCGAGCCTCGCCATCGCTCGGACGTCCATTCTCCGTCCATTCTCGGCTTCGTGCGCTTATTTTTGGCGCAATGGTCCAAGATGCTCCTCGATGGTCCTCGCCAGGAAAAAACGCACACGTCCGAGCGATGCCGAGATGCCGCCGAAACTGGCAGGGGCAGCGCGGGACAGCTTTCGACGTGCCTCGTCGGTTGCCTCCAAGGGGGAGGCCCTGTCAAAGGGCCCAGCCCGCATGTAGATGCCCCAGGAGGGGCCAGAATCGGCGGCGAACTAGGGGGGAAGTGAGGGGAGAAGGCCCTCTTAGAAGGCGGCGGGGCTTCTCAAAGCCCGCATGCCTTCTGATAAGTAGTTTTCTGTGTCTGTGGGGAAGGCTTAGAACACTTCTCAGAAGGCCGGGGGGCTCCCGAGCCTTCTGAGAAGGCCCGCCCCTTCTCACTTCCCCCCCCCTCGCTCGCCACCGAAATGAGGGGGCCCATTGTCGAAGACGAGAGATGTTTGCTCTCCGTCGTCGTCCTCGTCGTCGTCGCTGCCCTCCCTCCTCGTCGTCGTCCTACTCGTCGTCCTCCTCACGTCGTCGTCCTCGTCGTCCTGGTCGTCGTTGTCGGGCTCGCCGCCGACGGGTAGGGGCCGCGCGGGACAGCTCTCGCAGGGGCCTCGTCGGCTGCCTCCCTTACACAGAGGGGGGGGCCCTGCCGAGGGGCCCTGGCCCGCACGGGGGTGCACGCCAGGCGTGCACCCCCGTGATGATGATGGTGATGACGATGGTGGCGATGATGGTCATGATGATGGTGATGACGATAACGACGGTGAGGTGATGATGTCAGCGACGCCGCAGATCCTTGATATGATGCCCCCCCGTGGTGGACCAGTCAGGCCTCGACGGGGCCCAAACGGCGGTCGCTCTGCGACGGTCTCCCCGGGGAGCCTCCCCCGGGAGGCCCCGAGAGGGCCACGCGGGGCGCTCCCGCGGGGCGCCCAGGAGCGACGCAGGGGCCGAGAGGGAGGGAGGGGGAGAGGCAAGCTAGGTGCGCTCGCGTCATGCCTGACATCCTACCCCTCCCTCCCATCCCTTACCATGGCGCAGATCCCCTCTCTACTCGCACAGTCGGATGTCGAGCAGGGCGATGATCCCGAAAGGGTACGCGATGCATTGTAGAGCACGGCATGGCATGGCGTAGAAGAGCACCGCAAAGCGTAGTATCAACCTAGCATTGCATTGCATGCCGTGGCATGGCACGGGAAATGACGCCAGCGCTGCAGCGGGAGCACGAGTCGAAACGAGCGGAAGCGCGGAAATGAGGCCAGCGCTGCAGCGGGAGCACGATTCGGAACGAGCGGAAGCACGGAAATGAGGCCAGCGCTGCAGCGGGAACACGATTCGGAACGAGCGGGGCCCGAAAATGAGGCCAGCGCCCCAGCGAGAGCAGCATTTTGAAAAAAAATGCAAGCGAAAACCCAACTCCGGGGAAACCTGTGTGTGAAAAACAATACGCGGGGGGGGCACTTTCAAACCGTCATCAGGGGAAGAGGGAGAGTAGTATTCATATTGAGTAATTGTGGAGGGGGGAGAGGGAGGGAGGAGCCACAAAGGTAGGCCAACGGATCACCTACGGCAGGTTCGCGTCGTGACGATCCTTGCGCTGGTTTCCGACACAACGCGGACAGCTCCAACCTCACAGGCTCGGCGGCTCCCCGATCGCCAGATCATGCCATAATGGCCGAGCCTGGCCCGCCATCAGGTCCAGGTCGGGCATGTCCTCCCACAGGCGGATGCTGGAAGATTCCAAAACAATCACATTTAAAAAAAGAAACAAACACAAACAAAAAGACACAAACAAACCGTCCCCCGGCTATTCGATGGACTGTTCTGGTAAGGGGATCTGCCCGACTTACGCCCACTGGCGGCGCTCCACCCGGAACGCCCGCGCCCGGGGGTCGCCGCCGCGCCGTCACGACGAGAACCCGCCGAGCACCGACCCTGGCCCTGGCCCACGGCCCAGGGGCGACGGCGACGAGAGCGAAGCGACAGGGCACGTGCAGATCGGACGGCCACGGGTCCCTTCCTTTGGCTGGCCCAAAAGGGGGTACAGCGACAAGAGGGTGGCGAAAAAGGCTTGGGGCCAGTGGATCGCAAATGCACTGCGCCAGAAGATTGGATTGCATAGTATTGCAACTGATGCATTGCACGCGAAAGCCCAACAATGCATTTGCGCATCATAACGTATTGCACGCCCCAAATCTATGCCAACCCCACAAATCTATTGCAACAAATCTATTGCATCACGCCCTTGTCGCTGGACCCCGTTTTGGGTCAACCAGATTCCTGCCCGCGAGAGACCGAGAGCGGGCCGCCTGGAACTCGTAGCCGAACGCCTCCGGGGCAGTGACGCTCAGGGGATCGGCCTCGGGGTCCTCCTGCCATGGGGCGCGGGAGGATCTTGGAGCTTAGAAGAACAACAAACTGCATCAGCTCAAACTGTCAGAGGTCCGTGCGGACCTCCGAAATGAATTACAGTCAACCCATAGGATGAGGACCCACGATGGGGACATAAGGGCCTCGGAAGGCCATGCCGACACTGTGCGAGCGGGGCGCGGCCAGAGAAAGCGGCCAAGGCTGGGCCGAAGGGGAAAGATGTAAGGGTAACCTTGGAAAGTTGCTCATCCGTACGGGTTGACTGTATATGCACGTGCCGTTCTTTCGTTCTTCGACTGCTGGCGCGAGGCAGCTAGGCCAGCAGGGAGAAGGCTACGGTTAAGTCGGGCATGTCCCCCTGGAGGGGGATTTTGGCCGGAAAATAAAAAATAATCAAAAAATACCCCCCCCAATACTCAAAAATAGTCAAAACATCGTCCCCAGACTATTTTTTTACTATTTTTGAACATCCACCCTGTAGAGGGACAGGCCCGACTTGAGGCTACGGCTGATGACGACCAGGGGCGAGGGAAGGAAGAGGGGGCAGGAGAGCCCAACGTCGGATCGACATGACTCGGGATCGGCGATCGACATGCCTCGGATCGGTGGAACTCGGCGGCCGAGTCGGAAAAAGTCGCATCGGGGCGGGAGTCGGCAGGCCAGCAGGCCTCCACTGAAAAATCGGACCCCCGATCGGAATCCGGCATCAAATCGAATCGGAATCGGAAGCCATCGAGATCGAATCGGATCGGACCGGAGGAACCGAATTTAGCCCTGAAGGGGGGGGGTAGCAAGGTCGCCCACAGCGAGAGCACGACCGACAACCGACCGAACCGACCGCGAGACAGAAGACAACAGGCCCGCAGGCAGCCCAGCGAAGGCGCCCCTCGACGCAGCAGCGGCACGGCGCTCGGCCGAACCGAACTGGCCGAACGCGAACGACGACGACGCAGCCGAACCGACCGAACGGCGGACACCGCTCGGGGGGGGGGCCTTGGGGGGGAGTGGGAAGAGGAGGCAGGAGGCAGACGGGGGAACGAGCCATGACATACAAATGAAACCTCGGAGGTCCGCGCGGGGCTCTCGGATCCGCGCTGGACCCCCCTGGCGGCGCCTCCGGCGCCGCAACTGGCGCGCTCCGCGCGCCAGGGAGAAGGTTCCAGCGCCGATCCGAGAAATCCGCGCGGACCCCCGAGGAGTAGGAGTGGGATTCGTCCCCCAAGGAGTAGGAAGAGGATGGAGGAGGCAGAGGAAGATCGACTGAAAGGCGGCAGGGAAGATGGAGGACGGCGACGGCTGCCACGGCACCCTGTGCTTTCTGAGGAGCAGCTGCTCCGACACCGAGTCGTTTGCACACGAAGGGAAAAACCGACGGCACCTGCATGTTCATAGCGCATGCCAGCGTTGCCGCCGCTGTTCGTGTGAACGTGCTGGCATCTTGAGTGTGGCCGACCCGCGGAACGCGAAAACAAGCGGATGGCAACGCTGATAGCTGTTGTGCGCATCAGCTTGTCCGCCTCCTTCATGCTGGAGCCCCTCAATGCCAAGGGACACATGCCATACGACGGCAGCCGGATCGATCCAACTTGCCCAGAATGGAACCGAGGCCCTTGGACCAGCACCTTTCTTTATGAGGGCACGCAGCACCATGCAACGACATTCAGTTTGAATTGCCACACTAACGTGCGACAATCCAGAGACCGGGTCATTATGATGTATGTAGACGCCCTCTGTTATACATATAGATATATGCACCACCACTTGCAACTCGTCGAGTACACAGCTCTGCCTCATGTGCTTCGTTATCTTCACATATCTAAACATGATCCTCCAGTATTGTTTCACACTGCACCAAGTCAACTGCGATGACTAACATTCAACGCAAATCTCAAATGGCGCCGAATAGTCAGATCTGCCCCTGGGTAAGGTACTCATGTCCGAGAACTGCTTTGATAAAGCAGAATATGGCCAGATTGCCGCGTCAATTTCTTGCGCTAATCCTTACGGGACAAGACCTTGAGCTGGTGGGCTCAGGTTGGCCAGTGGCGCATGTTTTATAAATATCGTGCACGGCATGCACGTAGTACACAAAGCGTGCAGCGTCGACCCGATGATCATCCCATGGAAGATCGACAATACATTCGCACACATTCTTCCATAATCGAGGTTGGCGAATATACTTTCGAGGTCATCGATCCAACATGATGTCTTCGCATTTACGATGTGCATGGCGTACCCATGCGAGCTAGGAAAGGTCCTGCAGAGCTGACTCCTGTAATCAAATCGTCTCGGTAGTTGTAGTGCCTGCGCGGAGTGTCCAAGACGAGGATAAGATCGTCAAACGCATGTTCGGCACGTTGCCCTTGACTTGCAGGTTCCACTCTAGAACAAAAAAATGCCACAGGCTCTTCCAGTGCAGAACTTCATCTGCGAGCTCCAACACTCGACGTACCGACAATTGCAGAGCTAATCGTACTCGGCCTGATTCTGAAGCCTCTGGCGTCCATCGACGCGCTGTCGGGGCACTGCATCCGCCAGAATAGACTCGCAACCAAAGTCCGTCATGGCGTTGCGGGCTACAACTGCCAAAACTTTGCCTCTGGCACTGGGCGAAGGCGCCGCCAACAGCGGTCCACGGTATACGTCAGCTGTTCTCTCGTTGGGACAATCCACTGTGGAGATCTCAAACCCGAAGCCGGAATAACAATTGAGCCGAAGTATGTGCTCCAGCATTGTATTGTGAACGTCTTCTTATTCGGCGTTTCGACATTGGGCGGAAGGGGAGGGGGAGGGGAGGCGTCTGGATCCAGACCTCTGCTTAGTGCGATTGTTTGTAGCAGTGCGGCCTATGGGGGAAGACACCACCCGCTCGAAACAGGCGCCAAAACACAGCCCAGCCAAGATCTACTCCATGGGAGGGGGGGGGAGGGGGGGGGGTGGGGCCCGCCCCGATCTGCAAAACAATGATTAAAAAATGATCACATTACTCTACGCTGACTTGCACTGTGAAACGTCAAAGGTGTGCTGCAAGTCCACACTGCGCCGGTCCTCTGTAAAAGTGATGCATTGGCCTTACCTCCTGTTGGCACAAAAAGGAAGGCGATTCACAGCTCGCAGGAGCCAAGCAAGACAGCAATGGCAAGAAGAACAAGCAATAGTTAACTAACATGGCACCTCCCTACGCAAGTCCGACAATACTGGCTACGGACGACGGCTGCCACGGCACTCTGAGAACGCTTCACCCAGCATTTCATCGCCAAAGATTGGACGACTCGATGGAAGGAAGGGCGCTCGCCGGGCAGTCTGGCGCTCAGGGGGCAGAGACAGCTACGGTGACTACCAGGAAGCTTGAGGGGAGCGCACATCATGAGCGGCGAGCATATCCATATCCACACCCTCGCGGTCTGGATTCCAGGGCGCGATCCCAAGGATACGCGGTCGCAAGGATACGTTCCGCGCGGGGCATCCGCGACAAAAACTCCCCGCATCCATGGGATCGCGGCCCAGGGGCCCAGCCCGCGAGGACGCGGATATGGAGATATTCCCCTCCCATGAGCACAGCTGTCCCTGCGGCCAAGAGGGGAGCGTCCAATAGGGGGGTGGCGCAAATCATGGCCGGCGGCATGTGCGCGGCCCAGGGGAGGGGGCCGGAGACGTATTAAAATAAAAAGAGGCACCATGAAACCTGGGGAGATGTCATGGCCCCCGCCATGAGATCCACCCCCCCCTGGTCATCACCCCCCTCTTGGCCTCCCCCGAAGCTGCACTCGCAGGCTGAGCGCACGGCTGCATCCGCAGGCGCAGCGGCTGCATCCGCATCCGCATGCGGAGCGGCTGCAGCCGCGAAGGGCGCGCACGGGCTGCACATCCGCACGCGGAAATCGAAGGCCACCCGCCGGGGGGACGCGCCTGGCGGGCACCTCGCCGCAAAACGATGGGCCGAGGCGCCGAAACTGCACGCGGCCGCTCTCGCCCAGGCCAACCCACGTCTTGGTAGACCCCAGACGCGGTGGTGACAACACCTGGCGATGAGTCTCGGCCGATTTGAGCGACGATCAAAAAGAGTTCTTACGCGACATGGCATGGCGACCTTACGCGGTGGCTTACGCGGGCTGCCAGAGCGGCACGCCACATTGGAGACAAAGGCGCTTACGCGCGAGCAACTTACGCGCGAATGTCGGCGCAGACGACCCCGTTTTTTTGCGTCGCTCATGTGTCCCGAGCGCTGGTGGTCCAGGAGTCACAGAGTCCGGCGGTGGCCCCGTATTCCAAAACCCGGTCTGGTGACTTTTTGGGGAAGATTCCAGGTCACCGCCTGGTGTCTCACCTCCTGGTTTGGGGGCTCCCAGACGTCGCCCGTGCCCAGCTTCCCGGCAGAGCTCCCGGGACCAACGACGAACCTTGGCCGTGGCCGCTGCTGCAGCCGCCGTGCCGGTGATCACAGGAGTGCGGTGCGGTCGGGGCAGGGCATAACATGCGCGCCAGGTCAGGCTGCAGGGTCCGTGGGCACCCCAGGCTGCAAGAGTCGCCCCGCGATGTATCGCTCGGCGCAGTCCGAAAGAAGGCAGGGCCGCAGGGCACAGCTTGGCTTGGCAAAGCTGGCGGCGCGCACAGGGGGGGCGTGGCGCGAGGGGGGCGCCTTCCAAGGAGGCGAGGGGGGAAGGCGTCCTAGAAGACAGGGCCCCTCGTAGAAGAGGGCGGCCCAGGGTGACATGCTGGCCACGGGAAGTGGTCTAGGCCTCCAGGGTCCACGTTGTGGATTAGTCACGTCGAGGGTATGGGTCCCTCCCCCCTCTCTTCCCTACTCCTCCCCGGATCCCCCGAGCACCAACTAGAAAACCCTGAAACAGCATCCCTCCTCCTCCTCCGCCTCCTCCTCCTCACCCTCGTCCTTCCTCCCTCCTCCTTCCTCCTCCTCCTCCTCCTCCTCGACCTCGGCCTGCCTCCCTCCTCCTCTCCTTCCTCCTCCTCCTCCCTCCTCCCTCCTCCCTCCTCCCTCCTCCTCCTCCTCCCTCCTCCTCCTCCTCCTCCTCCTCCTCCTCATCCTCCTCCTCCTCTTCGTCGTCCTCCTCCTCCTGATCCTCCTCATCCTCCTCATCCTCCTCCTTCCTTCCGCATTCCGCCTTCCTCCTTCCTTCCTACTTCCTCCTTCCTCCTTCCTCATTCCTCCGTCCTCATTCCTTATTGTTCTTAGTATTCTTATTATTACCATCATTATTATTATAATTATTATTATCATCATTATTATTATAATTATAATTATTATTATTAGCATTATTATTATGATTATTATTATTATGATTATTATTAGTAGTATTATTATTATTAGTATTATTATTAGTATTATTATTATTAATATTATTATTACTAGTATTATTATTAATAATATTATTATTACTAATATGATTATTAGTATTATTATTATTAATATTATTAGTATTATTACTATTACTATTCTTACTTATTGATATTGTTATCATCATTAATATTACTATTAGTATTATTACTACTATTACTTATTATTATTATTATTACTATTATTCTTATTATTATTATTAATATTATTATTATTATTATTCTGCCTCCTCCTCCTTCTCCTATGCCCCCGTGCCTGCCTGGAAGGCAGCCCCGCCGAGACGTGCCCCCGCTGCTGGCGCCATCCTGGAGGAAGGCGGTAAGCGCCCTCTTGGCCCGCTCGGGGATGAGCCTCAGCTTGCTCAGGGCGGCGACCTGAGGGGTAGTGGGCGAGGGGCATGACGAGGATTAGGGGCATGACGAGGATTAGGATTTGGGGGCCCCCTGGCGGCGGCTCCAGCGCCGCCCCTGGCACGCTCTGCCCGCATGGGAGGGGGGTCCAGCGCAGATCCGAGGAATCCGCGCGGACCTCAGAGTCGTTCTGTTCATGTCATTGCTCGTTCCCCCAATGACGAGGATGAGGGGGAACGTTAGGAGGGGGGACTGGCTCCGGGAAGGAGAGATCGAGCTGGAATCGGTGACACATCGCCACCAGATCGGCGGTAGGCCCGCTCGGAGATGGGCCTCAGCTTGCTCGGGGCGGCGGCCTGAGGGAGAGTCGGCGGGGGGCATGACGAGGACTGGGCCGGACTGCCGCCTGGAGTGCCGTGGTCGTCTGAACGGTCGAGAGCACTGCTGCACTGCTCTCTTCTCAAAGGCGGCACACGCAGGACAGTACCCCGAACTCGGAAAGCCGAGGCACTGAGTGCACTGCGAGCCTGGGCCGCCAGGTCTAGTGCGGCGCCTGCAGTCGTCGCGATTCCAGGCTCGCCCACGGCTTGACGAGGGATGAATGGAAACGTCAGGGGGGGACCGGCTCAGTGGAGGAAAGATCAAGCTGGAATGGGCGATACCTCGCCAAGAAGATCGGCGGTGGGCCCCTGATAGCAAATCCGCACGTTTCTGGGCAATCGGTGGTTCGAGGTCGTTGCATCCCCCCTGAGAAGATACCCTCCTGACGTTGCCCCTGGCGAGAGGGAGGGAGGAAAAGGACAAGGATTTTGAACCTGTGGGACCAATCAGGGCCCAGTAATGAAGGAAGGTGGTTGCCAAACTTGGGCACTGGGCGTTCCCAGCGTCCTTGATTTTCGAGGTCCCAACACGGTGCGGTGACAGACTTGGCGGTGACCTCCAAAGACCCAACCGCACGGTCCGGCACCACCAAACGGTTCTGCGACCTCGGAGGCCTCAGCCGCCCGAGACATCCTCGGAGAGCGACCCGAGCTTCAAAATAGCGCAGTCACTCCAAATCCCGACCGACTCATAACACCGACCCTCCTCCGAATGTTTGGCTTCTGGGCAATCACTCGGGTCTCCACCGGCCCTTCGGGACCATCCGGGCAACCCCCGAACGCCCTCGGCGAGGTGCAGCTGCTGGAACGCATTCCGAGACGAGAAAACCTCAGAGAATCCACGAAAACATATGACAACCTACGTCAATGTCCAGAAGCCTACGACACCCCGAATCTCCACCGACTCACAACACGGTCTCGATGACAGGCAATCTCGATGTTTCGACCTCTGCTGGCTATTCAGCGCTGTTGGGCTCCGCAGGCCCCGCTGGAGCTGCCAGCAGGAGGCGAGGCGGCCTGGGGCGCTGTAAGCGCCACCACCGCCACTGAGCCTTGCGTCCGTCTGGTCGCGTTGGCAGACACGTCAAATGTGTGCAAGAGCTATGTTGCTCCCATCGTACTTACGGACCAAATCCCAGAAATTCGCCGGCCCAACGGGCCAGAGGCGTGCTAAGATCTCCGGTAACTGCTCAACAATATTTCTAGTTCGCGCGCGCGGGGCGGGCCCTGGGGGTCCCCGGACGAAAAGTACCCCGGCAAGGTCCCGGCAAGGTCCCGGCAAGGTCCTGGCAAGGTCCCGGCAAGGTCCCGGCAAGGTCCCGGCAAGGTCCCGGCAAGGTCCCGGCAAGGTCCCGGCAAGGTCCCGGCAAGGTCCCGGCAAACCCTCCAGACGGTCCAAGAGTGCCGGGAGACGCCGAAATATCACTCCCAAACGCCTGCGATGGCCTCAAGACGGCCCAACAGGCCTTCAAGACGCCCCAAGAGGTCCCTAAGCAGCGCCCCAAGAGGGCTCCCACTAGCAAAAATCGTCCCATTCCCTTCGGAAAACGTGCATTTTTAACATATCCGCCTCTTCGTCTTTCACACCTTTCAAGGCGGTCCAAGAGGCCTCCAAGATCACCCCAAGACGGCCCGAGAGACCCTCTAGACCGCTCAAAGACGGCCCAAGAGCGCTCCAAGAAGGCCCAAGAAACCCTCAAGAACTCTTTTTCGGAGCCCAGGAGGGCTCCAAATCGGTCCAAGAGGGGCCCGAGAAGCCCTCCAGACGGTCCAAGAGAGCCGGGAGACGCCGAAATATCACTCCCAAACGCCTACGATGGCCTCAAGACGGCCCAACAGGCCTTCAAGACGCCCCAAGAGGTCCCTAAGAGGTCCTTAAGCGGCGTCCCAAGAGGGCTCCCACAAGCAAAAATCGTCTCATTCCCTTCGGAAAGCGTGCATGTTTTACATATCCGCCTCTTCGTCTTTCACACCTTTCAAGGCGGTCCAAAAGGCCTCCAAGATCACCCCAAGACGGCCCGAGAGACCCTCTAAGACCGCTCAAAGACGGCCCAAGAGCGCTCCAAGAAGGCCCAAGAAACCCTCAAGAACTCTTTTTCAGAGCCCAGGAGGGCTCCAAATCGGTCCAAGAGGGGCCCGAGAAGCCCTCCAGACGGTCCAAGAGAGCCGGGAGACGCCGAAATATCACTCCCAAACGCCTACGATGGCCTCAAGACGGCCCAACAGGCCTTCAAGACGCCCCAAGAGGTCCCTAAGAGGTCCCTAAGCGGCGTCCCAAGAGGGCTCCCACAAGCAAAAATCGTCTCATTCCCTTAGGAAAGCGTGCATTTTTAACATATCCGCCTCTTCGTCTTTCACACCTTTCAAGGCGGTCCAAGAGGCCCCCAAGATCACCCCAAGACGGCCCGAGAGACCCTCAAGACCGCTCAAAGACGGCCCAAGAGCGCTCCAAGAAGGCCCAAGAAACCCTCAAGACGGTCCAAGAAGCCCCAAGACGGCCCCATGATTGAGGTCCACAGGGGCAACCTGAACGGAAATTTTGAGCCTCCCGCCCAAACACGCCCCCGAAATGCCCCTACAAGCCCCCAAGTAGCCCCACGAAGCCCCCAAGAGAGCCCCAAGAGGCCCCCAACAGGCCGCAAGAAAGCCCCAAGAGGCCCCCAAGAGACCCCCAGGAAGCTCCCAGGAGGCCCCCAAGAGGCCAGGCAGACCCCCCCAAGAGACCACCAAGAGGGCCCACCCAGAGCCATCCACGAGGCCTCCCAAAGTTCCCAAGAAGCTCCCACGAAGCTTCCAAAGGCCCCCAAGACCCCCCAAGACCCCGCGATGGCACAATACGGGCCGGCGGAATGAGCGAAGCGATTCAATAATTTCGGGCACCCAAAGAAGTATCGAAACAGTGTCGAACGAGTATCGCCTCCCAGAGCACGACACGTGAAAACCCTCCAGTTTCGGTACTTTCCTGGTGCTCGAAACTCTTCCTGGTGATCAAGGCTAAAACAGGTTGGAACATCATACTGCAAGTGGTCGTTCCTGGTCGTGTCACAGCTCTCCCGCGCAACAGGCGCCACCTGCCCTAAAAACAGCTGCAGCACAATTGCGGCAACTCGTGCTCGACCATGGGCCCCTCGTTTCGGCGGCAAGCGAGGAGGGAAGTGAGAAGGAGCGGGCCTTCTCAGAAGGCTCGGAACTCCCCTGGCCTTCTGAAAGATTTCCTGTCTTCCCTGAAAACACAGAAAACCATCAGAAGGCTGGAGAGCTTCTGAGAAGCCCCGCCGCCTTTTGAGAAGGCCTCCTCCTTCTCGCTTCCCCCCCGTCGCCCGCCGCCGAGACGACGAGGACGACGACGTAGAGCAAACATAGTTCGTGTTCGATCATGGGCCGCTCGTTACCCATCGCTCCTGGGCCGCCTTCGGCGGTCTTCGCGCGGTCTTCGGCCGGTTTTTGGAGCGGTCTTCGCCGGTCTTGTGACGGCCTCCCTGGGCTGGTGGTTTGGGCATCCCGGGGGCACCGTGGGCCAGAGGCATCCTGGTAGCAACACCCGACACCGCAGGGCATCTGCCCCATGCAGGCGGGTTGGGCATGTACCCCTGCAGGGCATGTACCCCTGCAGGCGGATTTTGGGCGAAAAATCGTCCCCATACTATTTTTTGCCATTTTTGAATATTCCTCCTGTAGAGGGACATGCCCGACTTAACACTAGTTGGCGGCGCGCATGAGGGGGTAGAGTCGGACCTAGGCCAGAATAACATCTTTCAAGAGCATGAGACCCTCCGCCGGCCAGAACACCCCGAACCCTAGGATCATTCGAGGGTACCCTCCCCCAGAATGCACAAGAAACATCCAACAAATGCAAAGAACATTCGGGTACCCTCCCCGAAACGATCTCGATCGTATACCTCGGTCCGACTGTAAGGGAAGAGGAAAGGCCTGTTAGAAGCAGGGGTGCATGTAAGAAGCCTGCCCCCCTCCCCCTTACCCCACTCTGCGCGTGGCCCAACTAACGCACACCGAGCCCGCCATCGAGACTCACCAGCTGGCAAGTCCGAGCGGGCGCTCACGGCAGTGGTCCCTCAGGAAAGGCGAAGTCCGTAGGGAATAAGTCCATACGGAGTGCTCGGTCTCCGGATGGGCTTGCTGCGTCTGGACTTCGCCTCTCCTGAGGCCCCCGGCCTGCTGCAGCGCCCCCGGCCTCGGGGGCCTTGGGCGAGTCCGAGCAGCTGGGGGGGCCCCTGGGATGGAATCGGTTCGGGGTTCTCGGGCGCGGTCGTGGGTTTTGGAAGGCTGCCTCGCCTCAGGGTGCTTTCTGGCAGCTGCGCCTGGTTGGGGGCGTTCTGGAGGTGTTCGGAAATCCGCTCTGCGATGTTGGCGCCATGAATCACATCTGGCCTACCCTAGCTTACAAGCGGGTGACAAGTGCAACAAATGGTTGAAGGGGTTTAATTAAAGCCGGCTTAGCCCAGATTGTTCACCCCCCACGCCACTTTGGGCATGTGCAATCCATTTATATGCGAGGTTAGGCAAGAATGATACACCTTGGCATCCACTGATAAGCCCACTGTCCCCTCAACAACCCCCGCGCCGATTCCGCGATCAGGGGCGCGTGTCCCAGGGCGGCCGGAAAGCTGATACCCCACATGCCACCGTAGGGGTAGAAACTTCCCAGCTGCCTTGGGGCAGGCGTCCCCGATCGCGGAAAGATATGTTGCACCGCTCTTACTATGCTAGTTGTTCCCGTTTCCCGACCTTCGACGATATGTCTCATGTGATCTGGGTGTTGTTCCTGGAATTCGGCCTCCGAGGCGCGCCTATCGGGCCCCGGAGGCTATCAGAAACAAGCCTGGGACGAAAAAACACCCCCTCGAAAAGGGTCGGGACTTCTGGGGCCACACACTGATCAGGTCTGACGTCTGGGCTCGCATCTGCGAAGAAGCCATGCCCCCGCGCGATAAGAAGCCCCACAGGCCACCGCCTCCACTTCGCCGCTCGCATCGTCCTCACCGTCGCCCTCGCCAGCACCTTTTATCGTGTCCGCCCGAGCGAGCCAACCCCTGCAGCGTCGCAGGCTTGTGCCCGAAAGTCCTCGCCAGCAAGACCACTGCCACGGATCTTCGCCATGGCCATCGCATTGCTATTCCCGCAGCAACTCAATCAACACCGCCATCGCCCTCGCCATCGCAGTCACCGTCGTCACTGCAGCTTGCCTCGCTCCCTCCCTCGACCTCCTCATGGTCCTCATCCTTCTGACCCTCCTCGCCCTCCTCCACATCCTCCCGCCCAGGGTCCTCATCCTCACCCCACAGGAGAGCCCAGAAACGAATCGATGTCGGATCGGCGATCGAAACGAATCGGATTGGCAGAAATCGGCAGCCAAGTCGGGAGAAGTCGAATCGGCAGAAATCGGCAGGCCAGTAGGCCTCCATGGAGGAATCGGCATCCAAATCGGAATCCGAAGTCGAATCGAATCGGAATCGGAAGCCATCGAAATCAAATCGAATCGAATCGGAGGAACCGAGATGAGCTCTGCCCCATCTAGGCTGAGAAGCCGCACCTGCACGAAGGAGGCCTGCTTCCGGTCGTACGCCTGCGTCTTCAGCACCTCCGCGGCCGCAAGGCCGCCCCGGCGTCGATGGATGGGGTTAGGTCGGGCATGTCCCCCTACTGACGGATTTCAGACGGGAAATAAGAAAGTATTCAAAAAAACAAAAGACTTCCTGTAAAGACACGCCCGATTGAACTTTTCCTTCAGATGCAACACCCGTCCGCATCAATGCCTCACGATCCAAGCATGCCCGTCGCAAGGATGCCAGTAGAGCCCGCGGTGATACAGACTCAGGTCACATTCGTATCGACGCTCGTCCATATCGAGACGGCGCTGATGCATCTGCGATGCATCGCTGATGCATCGGCGACTTCGGTGATGCAACGGCGACGTTAGCATGGAGAGAATCGGGCTCCACATCGAGCCGCCTCGCAGATGCATCGCAGATGCCATCTGAGAGGCCTGGAGCCCCGGCGGGCGAAAGCGCCTGGCATCGGAGGCTCCCAGACTTCTCTACGAAGGGCGGGGTGCAGCTGCAGCGCGGCTAGGGCACCCTCTCCTCAAAAAAACCAGGGACCCCCCGCGCCGCTCCCCCCCCCTAGAGCTCCCCTCCGCCCCCCTCCTGGGGGATCGGATTCCCGTGGTTTTGCGTGGTCCCTGCTCCCTCTCCCGTCGTCCTGGGCAAGGGGAGCCGGCGAGTGATTGGGCACCGAAGCCTCAAGTCGGGCCTGTCCCTGCACAGGAGAAATATTCAAAAACAGACAAAACATGGTACGGGGACGATTTTTTGAATAGTTGTTGGCTATTGGGGGGCATTTTCTGCGCACATATTTTTGATTCGTTCGCGCGAAATCCGCCTGAAAGGGGGGACATGCCCGACCTAACAGAAGCCTGATCAGAAGGATGCGCGGTGAGGCTGCACCTCGGACGCCCATCCCGAAGCCCTTCCAACGGCCGCGGCCAACGAAAGTGGCCAAGGATGGACCGAGGAGGCAGGGATGCAAGGGCACCATGAGGAAAGTCGCCCCTCCTTACCATGCGGGTTGACTGTTGACCGTGAACGGTGATTCTTAAGGTGACGGCAGTTCTGGTTAGCGGAACAGGGCAATGGTGCGTCCACTGGTGCACATCACTAAACTTAGGTCGGACATGTCCTCCTACAGGCTGACGTTGGCAGAAAATATAAATCAGCCCAAACATGTTTAAAAATACTCTCCAAACATCGAACAACTGTCCCCTGAGTAGTTGGACTAGCTTTGAATACTCCTCCTGCAAGAGGACACGCACGACTTAACACTACACCTGGCCCCGCCTGTGCCCGACCCTCCCCATATCGCCCTCCCCCTTAAGGGGGTAGCCTCGCCTCGGCGTCCTCCGCCGTCCCCTGCCGGTGCCGTCGCACTCCGCCCAGGACCTTTTCGGTGCGCGCCCTCCCTGGTGTCGGGATCCAACAAAAGGAGGGGGGAGGACCCTGCGGGGGGCGTGCGTTCGATCCGCTGGTACACCGAACTGCCGCGAACAGATGCCCCCCGTATGCCCCACCTATCGGCGATTGCGGGGAGCTGCCTGCGGCTTCGGGGCATCTGCTTTCGGCGGCTCGGTGCAAAAACCGATCGAGCTCTCTCACACATGTTTTGCGCGTCGGCGGCTGGGCAGAGATTACAGCTCCGGCGATCGGGCATCAGTGGGGCGCGCTAGATGCAAGATGGGCCGAGGTGCACGGGGGAAGAGGAAAAGACGCCCGGCGCAGGCGGGAAGAGAGGAAGCTGGGCCCGCTCAGGCAAGTCCCGGCAGCGGCCGGGTGGGCGCCAGGGGGGTAGCCAGCAGCGACGCCAGGCAGCGGCTGGGGGGGAACTCTCTCTCCCTCTCTTTCTCTCTCTTTCTTTCTCTGTCTCTCTCTCTCTCTCTCTCTCACACACACACACCCGGGGCACACACCCCTCTTGCGATAGACTGGGTCGATAATGGCAAGCTCGACCGCCCCAAAATCTCGAAAAAATCTCCACGCGACTTTTCTGGAATCTCCAATCTCCAAAAAATCCGCCTGCGAATCTCCAAAAAACATCGTCCCGCGAAAATCTGAAAAAAAATGCCGACGGTGGCAGAGCGCCGCCGGGGAGGGGGAGGGCAGCGTCGACCACCGATACATGTTGGCCCCCGACGGCCCGAATAGATCCACATCCACCGCCTGTGGAGGTCCGCGAGGATCGATCCCCCAGGCGGTGGATAGGGATAAATATCCGCCTCGGACTGATGCCCGCAGCGCGAGGCGGGAGGAGAGCAAGCCCGCTGTGGGCCGGCAGGGCGCCGACCCCCCGCGACGCGGGCGGGCCGACTCCGCGCCCCGGGGGCGGCGGCGGCCTCCACACGCGCTGCTGGCAGGCGCGGCACGCCGCGCGGAGCAGCGGGCGCTCCGCAGGCCGCCCCCAGCGGGCCGGAGCAGGCGGGCTCGGAGGAGCGCGCCGCATCGACGCTGCATCCTCCCTCCCCCCTCCTCCTCCTCCTCCTCCTCCTTCTCCTCCTCCTCCTCCTCCCCCTCCTTCTCCTCCTCCTCCTCCTCCCCCTCCTCCTCCTCCTCCTCCTCGTCCCCCTCGTCGTCGTCCTCCGCCTCCTGTTCCTCCTCCTCCTCCTCCTCCTCCTCCTCCTCCTCCTCCTCATCCGCCTCCCTCCTCCTCCTCCCCCTCCCCCTCCTCCTCCTCATTCCTCCTGTTCTTGCTCCTCCTTTTTGCTTCAAGAATGGATCCGGGACAGCAGGCTGCTGGGAGGCACCCCGAGGCGAGGAACCTCCGAGACACGACGTCAGTGTCCTCGTCCCGCGTCTCCCCTCGACGACGAGTAAACGTCCTCCCCACTCTCTTGGACGCCCACGAGGCTAACGCGGGCCGCCCGCGCGGCACACTTCGTGGGCAGGAAAAATATTCGCGCGCAAGCGGGCAGCTTGCGTGCGAGCGTCCATGGGGTCGGCGCAGTTGCTCGACGTCACTCGGCGGAGGTCGCCAATCGATTTCGAGGGCCAGGCCGAGCGGTCCTCACGGGGTGATCCAGAAAGGCAGCGCCGACACAGCAATGCGAAGGGCTCCAAGTGTAATGGGTATGCACATGCTGTGCTGCCGATCGCTGTCTGTCGCTAGACTGCGAAAAATGTACCCGGACAGGGGCTCTAACCTCGTCTTGTTGTCCAAGATATTGGCACCTGAAGCTTCCGCTGCCGGTCATGGTTCAGACAATTGCCATGACCTGTCTTATGCACTACCGCCATCGCTGCACTCACTCTGACACCCCCTCCCATCCAAATTGCTGCGTGTACAGGCCTGACCAACCTTGCGATTACGAAAGAAATTCCAAGTGGGTTGGGAATCCTCGTGCGTCTTCTACCTTTATCACGCGTGTGTAATGATAGCAGCACGGAGACCACAGCTGATTCTCCCGTCGTGCCTCATACACACCCCTTATCCCTTCAAACGAGATTCAAATCTTCGTGGCAGCGAGATTCCTTCTCCTCGTCCTCCTCGTCCTCCTCTTCCTCCCCCTCCTCCTCTTCCTCCTCCTCCTCCTCCTCCTCCTCCTCCTGCTCCCTCCTCCTCCCTCCTCGAACCTCGTATCTCTGATCCTCTCATCCCTCCCGGCGAAACGGACGACGACGACGACGACGACAACGACGCCGCCGCCGCCAACGAAAAAAACTTCGACGAAAGCGCTGTTGCTGACGACGACGGTGCCGACGGAAACGGCAACGACAACAAACAGGTCGCCGACGCCAACGCCGACAACGGTAGCGACAGCGACGCCGGCGACCTCGATCCACGGAACCGTCAACGACGTCACACGGCGACGAGAGCGACGACGGCGGCGACGACGGCGGCGAAGGCGGCGTCTGGCAGCGCGGAGGGGCTCTCCTGAATGGCGCGCTCGAGCGCGGAGACGGACTCCGAATAGTCCTTGTGCATGTCGTCGTAGGCGGCCTTCGCTGCGTCGAGGGCGCCGAGAGCGAGCGAGAGGGGGCGCCGACGACGTGCAGTGCAGTGGGGGCCCTTTCCACAAGAAACCCTCCTCAAGAAACCCAACCCTGAGACCCCAGGACGCCCATGGATTCTTGGTGTGGGAACGCCACGCCATCCATCGCAAAACCATCGAAACCCAAGAAACCCAGGGCACCCTGGAGGCGAGCTGGGGGTTGCTTGCCATGGGCCTCCACTGTAGATCTGAGAGCCAGGAGGGCCAGGCACGGGCGCGAAACCACCACCTCCCCGCCGCCTCCCCTGCTCCTCCCCCCCCTCCAACCCTCCACTCCCCGTGATAGATGGTTCCTCTGGCCTCGGGCCCTGCCAGGTCAGACATCTCCCTCCTCATCCTCCTTTTCCTCCTCCTCGTCATCCAGCAGCGGTGGCCAGATGAGAAGACTTCCCCAAAGTGTGCCCTGATTCCTTCGCGTGCGTGCAAGTACGGTTGGGTGTACCTGTGCAAGGGCCCACATCCGCAACACAGTCAGCGGAAGGCGGGCGTCCCTGTAGACACAGAAGGATTGATATGAGGCCAGCAGTGCCTCGTCCAATACTTGTGCTGCGGCAGCCGCGCCACTGGGTCACGGTGAGGACCGCGCCCAGGGGCAGCGTGGCTCTCTCTCTTCCGTTCCGCAGCCGAGCGAGTCGGCCGCCTCTCCTTCACCCGTGAATGGCGAGGGAGAGATGGGCGGCGAGCTTGGTCGCGATGATTTAGCTCGTGCAGCTCAGGTTGAGGCCGAGGAAGAGGCCTCCAGATTTCTCTTCCAGCCCAGAGGCGTTGCTCCTGCCGAGCAGCCACCTGACGCCCGATCTCAGAGAGATGCGCTGCGCCAGGCTCGAGACGCTCGTGGGTCTGAGGAGGATGAGGCTCTCCTCGCGCCTAGACACGCCGAAAACTCAGGCGACTCTGACTAGCTCTCGGTCTTTTGAGGCGCCAGCACCTCTCTCCGTTGCTGGCGCCATTTCAGGGCCTTCCCCTGACTTGGAGGCATGGGCGTGGAGCTCAAAACAAAATCCTCCTCCTGCTCCTCCTCCACCCCCTCCTCCTCCTCCTCCTCCTCCTCCTCCTCCTCCTCCTCCTCCTCCTCCTCCTATTCCTCCTTCCCCTCCTCCTCCTCCTCCTTCAACTCCTTCTCCTCCTCCTCCTCCTCCTTCTCCTCCTCCCTCTCCTCCTGCCTCGTCTCCTCCTCGTCTTCCTCGTATGAGCTCCAGCGTCCATTCTTTCAATCCCCCCAACACCACCAACCGCTCCCTCACCCCCTTCCTCATCCTCAGCCTCAGCCTCAGCCTCAGCCTCATCATCACCATCATCATCATCATCATCATCATCATCATCATCATCATCAGCATCATCATCATCATCATCATCATTATCATCATCATCATCATCATCATCATCATCAGCAGCAGCATCATCATCAGCATCATCATCATCATCCTTATCACCACCACCATCATCAACATCAGCAGCACCATCAGAATCATCAGCATCATCACCATCATCAGCGGCATCAGCATTATCAGCCTCATCAGCATCATCAGCAGCAGCATAATCCTCCTCCTCATCATCAGCATCAGCATCGGCATCATCAGCATCATCACCACCATCATCGGCATCATCACCACCATTAACAGCACCATCATCATAATCATCAGCATCAGCATCGTCATCCTCATCATCACCATCATCAACAGCAGCATCATCATCATAAGCGTCATCATCAGCATCAGCATCATCACATCACATCATCTTAGTCGTCGTCGTAAGCAGCAGCATCGTCAGCAGCAGTAGCAGCATCAGCATCAGCAGCAGCATGATCAGCATCCGCATCATCATCATACGCATCAGCATCAACATCAGCATCGCCATCCTCGTCATCATCAGCATCATCATGCCCCGCATCAGCAACAGCATCATCACCACCACCACAATCATCATCAGTAGCATCAGCATCACCATCATCATCACAACCATCATCATGCTCATCGTCGTCAGTATCAGCATCATCAGCATCGTCTTCGTCATCAGAATGGTCAGACTCATCATGCTCATCGTCGTCATCATCATCAGCATCATCATCCGCATCATCATCACCAACACCACCACCGCCAGCATCATCAGCATCATCATCCTCATCCTCAGCCTCTTCATCATCGGCATCATCAGCAGCAGCATCATCATCGTCATCAACATAACAATCACCAGCAGCATCATCATCAACTTCCCTCCTCCTCCTTCGCCACCTCCTCATTTCATGACGTTCCATCCGTCCCATCCGTTCATCCTCCTCCTACTCCTTCTCCTCTCCGCAGAGCAGCGGGGCATTAGACAGTAGACGCAAGGCCAATCTTAGATCGATGTGGCCTCCAATTCCTCACACCCTCCTCCTGTTGCTCCTCATCCTCCGCACCATCATCCTCCTCATCCTCCGCCTCATCAACATCATCATCAGAATCAGCAGCAGCATCATCATGATCAGCATCAGCAGTCACGCCAGCATCAGCATCAGCATCAGCATCAGCACCGTCATCATCATCATCATCATCATCATCATCATCATCATCATCATCATCATCATAATCAAAATCATCATCATCACAAACAGCATCTTCATCCTCATCAGCATCACCATTATCATTATCAGCATCATCATCTGCACATTATCAGTATCATCATCATCATCATCATCATCAGCAGCAGCAGCATCACCACCACCACCACCACCACCATCATCATCATCATCATCATCATCATCATCATCATCATCATCATCCGCATCTTCCTCCTCATCATCATCAGCAGCAGCATCATCATATGTAATCATCGGCATCATCATCATCATCATCATCATCATCATCATCATCATCAGCATCCTCCTCTGGTTCCTCCTACGAGCTCCAGTGTCCCTCCTTTAATCATCCCAACACACTCATCATCTCCCTAACCCCCTTCCTCACCCTCAGCCTCATCCCCATCATCATCAGCAGCAGCATCAGCATCAACATCATCACCATCATCACATCAGCATCC